TATTTAAAGCTCAGACCAGGCCTATAAGATGGCTATGAGGAAAAGGGCATTCATTGGATTCTCACATTGAGAAATCTCTGTTATATTGAGTGACTTTTATATTGGAGTTAGTACATCTCTCTCATAGATTTTACTAAAAAAGGGCTGAATACATTATTTTGTTTTTACCAAGGAGGGCTTCTTTATGTAATAAGGTTTGTTTAACAACAGTTCCTATTATGAATCTTGAATGTTCCCGAACGTGACTAGAGGAATCTTGAAACCTTACTGATAGGTTTATTTCATTGTAAAGCATAAGCTTAAGAAACTGCGGCATGCAAGTGACCAATTCGATTCTCAAAATTATTCTAGTTTCAGTTGCGCCGAGCGTTATGTAAGCTTAATTTAACCTGCTACATCTATTCTTTTATAAGATTTTGATCACGTAACGAATATCGCAATTTTTACTCACCACAAACTTTTAAAATCGTAGCTTTACAGATGGCCACTCGACCCTTGTTTGTACCAGTCAATATGTCAACTGTTGTCCCTTCTTTTAACTCCACGGCGCCAACGACTTTCTTTTCTTTTATAACACTCACACTGTTCTCGTTTTCCCATTGAACCACAATAAAAGCTATCTTTAGAAATGTTATATTTAGCAAAACGGTTGAGAAAAACGATCAACCGATGAAAAGTACATTCAAAGATGAGCGCCAAATGGAGTCTTCTTTGTTTCCGATCACGGCCATGATCACGTGGATCTTTTAGGACTTGTCATTGGCTAGCAAAGTGAGTCCGCTGGCTTGCCGATTGCAGTGTTAAGAGAAGGTTATATCTTTATTCTGACTTCTCTAACCGGTTCTCTGCTTCAAGATGATGGATACCCTGGTGATATAAATAATGATGTGAGCTCACTCTATGTAGAAATAATCGACAAGAATCGATCGTATTACAAATGCACGATTTGTGGCCGAAAGTTGTCGAGGAAACAAAGACTCGAAACTCACTTGAGTTGTGTTCATGGCAAAGGTGAGAAATAACACAAGCCAATCACAGTTTTGAATGCGACTACAAATCGTCTTTTACCCACATATTTATGAAAGAAGGATACCACATTAGGAAGTATAAGAGAGACTTAGATGATCCCAGTGTACCAGTACCTAAATCTACAAAGTTTGACCGTAGCAAACGTTCAGCAACATGTTCCAACACCGCCATCTCGATTCCTCAGTCAGTGGTTTCCACTGAACTTTAAGCAGTAGTGACAACAGAGTAGAGTGCGTTTTACAAAGAAGAAACATTTGTACAAGAGACAGAAGTAACTATATGCGATTACAGAGGTGCGTTGGAACTCTGGTCCACAAATAGTTATGCACTGTCCGAAGTATAAAACAATTTTGTTGATAGCTGACAGACAGAGAAGAACAACAATTAAACTTTAGAGCTGTTATTATTGAAGTGTGACTTGCACTTTTCATTTTTATATGAAGAAGGACTTATATTTTGCACCAAATATAAAAAGATGTAATATTTTTTGGGAGATTCAGTGATTGGGACATTTAAGAAATTAAGTTATGAAAGGAAACTTGGTTGGTACTTCTCACTACTAACAAGTCTTGTTGACAAATATTTTCAGATCAGAGTTTCAAATAAAGTAAATTGAAGACGTCATTTAAAAGGTGTTTTTTCTCAAAGGGAACATTGACTACCTCTGTCTTGTCTGCATGCCAAATGTTTGCAAAGTGTGTGGATGATCCACAAGTATTGGAACTCTTACAAAAATGTTTTGTAAGAATAAAAACAGCAAAACAAATTACAGCAATTAGTCACGAAAACAGAGCAAAAAACTGAAAAAAAAACAGCAACAACAATCATGAAAAATAAAGATTAATTAGGTGTTGAATTTGTTTGTCTAAGGCATGAAATTTCTACTAAGAATATTGTCAACAAAAAGTCTCTGAGCTTGACTGTTCCAAGGTTTTCTAACAAAGGCAACCAGTAATGTAGGTTAGGGAAGTAACTTATGTTTATAACTAACAAAGTTCTTTAAGTGTAGATAACAATGTAATTATTGTTAATTATTGTGGAAGTTGTGTACCAAGGAACAGCTAATGAATGTTTGATGATTTTGACACATCAGTGAACATGAGACATTAATTTGCATCACAATAAAAATTATTTTTTGATCATGGAATCCAAGAGTCCTTTCACATTAGAAAGAAAATCTGTGATATGAGTTAATTGGCAATTTCCATTTAACATAACTGACTGCTGGTTCATGAGAAAATCCATATTAATGTAAAGATTTACTAAAACTTAGTTTGAATAATAAATTTCATGATCTTTAAGTTATAAACATATACATGTATGAATATCTCTTGGTAAGTTTTGTATAGCATACCTTTTATTGAGCCAAAGTTTTAAGCCTCTGAAATTACTCCTTTTCTTAAAACCTTCACATTCAAGGTATTGAGAATTTCTTAGAATTTATGTGGACCTCAGGGTATTAAAATTGCCTCAAATTCAATTCCCAGAAATTCCCAAGAGTTCCACACTTCTTAAATTATAGGTAGTTTGTAAAGCTTAGAATTCCTAGGAATTCCTAGGGATTCCAAGTCCTCACAAAACTGGAGTCTTCCTTTCCCAGAAATTCCCAGTAATTCCAAGCTTTTGAAATCAGAGTTAATTTGCATAGTTGGGAATTTTTGAGAATTCCCAGAAAACTGGGAATTCAGTTTGCAAGGGTTATTTGCATAATTGGGAATTTTTGAGAATTCCTAGGAATTCCCAGAAAACTGGGAATTCAGTTTGCAAGGGGTTCTTGTTCATATGCATGGCTAAATTAATTCATGGAGGCTTGGGAATGTAAGGTCACATATGCATTAATACTGTGATAGTTATTTATTTTTATTTTTTTACAACATAAATGTTTGTTTTATTTAGGCGCTCCTGAAGGAACCACCAAGAATCTTGAAAAGTTGAAAGATGCAATCAAAAAATGTGAAAGTAAAGTCAAGAGCAAAGGAGTTCCTAAACTTGAACTAAAAGTTAAATTAGAGAAAGCTGCATTTGAAAAGGGCTTCATTGTTTCTGATAATGATGGAGGGGGAAATTGTTTGTTCCATGCTTTATCAGAACAACTGTCACTTGCTAAAGAAGATCCAATTCCACATGATGTATTAAGGAAAACATTAGTTCAATACCTCAAAGAGAACCAAATAATGGTAGGTTTTGTTTGGTATTTATAAGTGCTTACTTAGCACTATGTCAATAATATTGCTCATTTAGTTACATAATCAAATATTGCATTTTTAAACTTCCTTCTGGATTCACAGTGTTTCACCATGACCAATTGCAGCCTTCTTTCCACAGTTAACACATTTGAGCTGAGGCATCTTCTCCAAGTTTCTTTACTTTTTCTAAATAGCCTGACTTTGCATTTGGAAACACCAATTTCACATTCAGTTTCATGGTTTCCATTTTGCTGGGCTCTGCAAATTTCTGATCACTCGTAATACAGTGTGATTGTAATGTTTATGTCATCAGCTGTTTCTTAAATACTCTACTAAACTTATTCATGGATCAAAATAGGAAATATTTCATTGGTTGATCAATATTTAACTTGAGCTAATAGAGACCAATTACAACAAAGCTTTTATTTTTTAATGTTTTAAGCAAATTACTTGCACAACAAACAATAGGACCCATGTATAATATGCAATTTTGATTTTGTGTTTTTCAATGCTTACTCTAATCCTCTAAATACCTAATTTCTTGATTCTTCTTTCAGAAAAATGGAACTGATCTGTTCAGCCTGTTAGACAGTGATCAGCATAGCCATTTTGGTACATGGGAGGAGTACCTAACACACATGGCAAAGGATGGTATTTGGGGTGACGAAATTGTAATCTTTGCAGCAGCAAACAACTACAAAAGAGATATTAATGTGATCAGGCCACTACCTGGAGATGAAATATTGGTAATCCCTATCAAACCAGAATGTGAAGTAAAAGGTGGAAATCCAATTTGGCTGGGGCACATATATGATTGCCATTTTGTCAGCCTTCTTAAAGGTACAACATTCATAAAGTTCATTACAATGCATATAGATCTTTTGTAAGTGACTGGTGTCCTACCAATTTGTTTTAGCTATCATACTGGTTATACAAATATGAAAGCAATCTTCGTGGTAATGATTACAGCACCAATGAATAATTCATGGTATGAGAAGAAATATCTTTTACAGTTCAAGATGTAAAAACAAAAACCTTTCAAAAACATTGAAAAGTACTGTCCTGGGCTTACCCATTTAGCAGCTCTTTATTTTTTAGGTCAGTGTGCAAATGTGTGTCTCAAAACATCAAAGGCATGGTCAATGGATGCAAACATTTCTTGAATGAAATAGAGGCAACAGATAATTAACTATCAATTATTGATTATTATAATAATAAGTAAGACTTAATTAATTTGATTACTATAAATTAAAATTGTAATTTTAAACACCTTAAGATCATTATTAATTATTTTTCTAATTTACTAGGCTCAGACGTATATACAGTTTATGTGTGAACATTTACTCTCTCAATAATGAATTAATTATCAATATTCTCAGCAGGACTTAGTAAAGATACCAAAATAGATGTGAACTTCTCTCACCTAAATTTGTTATTAACAGCACCAGTACCTTCATCAGATCAACATACCGATGGGACTAGGCCGCAAAAGTGTAATGAAGAGAGGGACAAGCAGCATGAACTTGTGTCTGGTAATTATTTTTTAAATGATTGTCATTAGTATTTGTTTGCTCATGTTCACCGACTGAAGGGTTTCTTGTTATTGGCTCTCCAGTTATCTAAAAAGTGTGAGGCATTAGAACTCGACCAAAATAAGATGGTAAAATATCCATACTTGGACAAAATCTGTATGCTTGTTCCCTGGCTGCTATTGTTATTATTCCTTTTTAATGCCATTTTAGAATGTTCGTCATTTTAATTTGTTTGTGTTTTTTCTCAACCTAATTTGTAAGTCAAATTAAAAGTAGATTCTTAAGGATTATTTCCATGTGCGTATTTTAAATAGGTCATGAGAAGCCACCCTTCGGAATTAAAAGAAGCTCTTCTCTGGAGTCTGTTGAGAAAAGTAAGAGGTCACCTTTTATCTAACCATTTAAAACAAAGATGGTGTAGGATTTAGCCTTAAGTGCAAGCATGTGATGTTTTGGGTTTTGCTAAATCAAAAACAGAGGTCACGATAATTGTAAAGAGTTCAACTTAGTTTATCTACTTTATTATACACAGTTTTAGTTAGGTTTAATTGGTGTGGCAATATCTATATACAAATACGTCGATTTTAAATTTCTAAGTGACTGAGTTTATGCAGTAGGTCATTGTTAATAGTCCGTAATATGATCTATCCAAGGTTACGCCATCTTACATTATTTTACGCCATTCTACCATATTAGCCATGATAAGGGACCGTGGGGTACTATAGAACAGAGCTGAAATACAGACGGAAGACGGAAGGACAAAATGGCCGCACTTAATGATCAAAACTCTGATTTGTTTTTCCATATTTTGGGCATGACCTCTTAAGTTCATTATAGAGAACACTTTAATGGTTTCAATAGTTTTGTTTTCGTCTTTTGGGCACCCTTTCTGCAGTTTACATAATTATGTGGAAAAGCCGAAGGATGTATTTGATAAACTAGAGGCCAAAATACCTGAAAATGAGATAATAGCGAGATAATAAATCCCTTATTCGATGGTTTAACATGAAATTCGAGGAGAAATTTTGCTCATTCCTCGTAATCTTCCTCACCCCGTAAAATACTATGCAACTCGCGAAATATCCGTCTGTATTACATGTTAAACTATTGAATGAGATGAAAATATGGCACTAGTATCAATATCACAATTAGCTATGACAAATGCACTATTAAGATGTAACATGTATGACGTGTACAATAAAGGAAGAACTCAGGAATTGATTCACTTTTAACAACTAAAAAAATAATTTTCAGAGACTGCTTTACCTGTTAATCTGTTGGTGATAGTAATAATCATATATATAGCAATCACATCAAGACCCTGGCGTTAATTTGCATTGCACCATTACTTGACCTCGCTAATTTAGGTTTGTGTTATTGAACTCTCTACGCACACGTGCTGTCAAGTTTTTTTTTTCATTTTAGTTGATACGAGTTGAAATAATCGTGTGGTAGACTCAACCAATAATTCCTTACAAGGGAATGGCAATAGAAGTCATAGAAGAAACTGGGAGAAGAAAAGCATGGAAACGTTCAAGATTCAAACAGGGTTTAAAACGGTGCCTACGAACTAATAAATGAGGAGCAAAACCACATGATTGTTTCACGTATTAAGGAATTTAATCAGTATATTGTAAATTCATTTATTTTGATTTGAGAATTCAAAAAAATATATATTAGGGAAAAAAGAAACTAGAGGTGACATATGTAGAGTTTCAACATCCATAAATCGGGTACAATCAAGTCCCAAATAGAAGTATCATAGAAATTCATTCTTTTTCCAAAAGTCAGAAGTGGTAACATTCCTCCTGAATGGTTTCCCTACCTTGCATTGGATATACAAGGCAACATGAAGTGGAGAAGGTTGGGGAACAGTTTAGATCTGAGTAATGCGGAACTCAATGGTATTGAGCAAGACAACGATGAGGAATACGAGCGAAGTTATAAGATGCTGATAACTTGGTGGCAAAAAGGTGCTGCCTCCTATGACAAGCTTGCGTCTGCCTTAAAAGAGCATAATCTTGGAGAGATTTGTCGAGACTACTGCCTAATGGGACACACTCCACTCTTGAAGGAAGATGTGAAGTTGCGTAAGTAGCAGAATAATTTCTTAAGCTCTTTACATAAACTTAAACTATCAAGCTCTTCCATTAACCATACTTCCATCCTTTCAACCATGACCCCATTCAGGACAAGCAAATCGATAGAAGCTGTCTTTCATACGGCGGTAGCACCTGCTCTTTTAAACCCCGAGTTAATAACTGAAGAAAACACAGAGAAGTGCACTTCATAATGACGAACCCTCATTAGACTACTTTGAAAAAGTGTTCTGTATTGTAGAATGCTAAATACAGCATCCGTTATTGTTGTCAATCACGCAACCTTTAGTGTCCTGTTGAGTACTGATTCACAGATTCTGAACCTCTGTAGTAAACTTCAAACTTGTCAGAGAGGACTTCAGTGTATTTTCCGATATTTGATATGTCATAAGATATAATTCACCTTATACGTTGCTCATGTATTTGTCTCCTTACACATGTTTTTGTTTGGTTTGTTCAATATTAAGCAGGGAACCTGAAGGAAGAACCAATAGACGATAAAGCTTTATCCAGCATAGCCGCGGCCGTGATGAAAAAATGTCAAAGACTGGGTAGGGCACTTGGGATAAATAATGATCGATTAGACAAGATAGCGATGGACAACCCAAAAGATGGTTTTGAGCAGTCCTATCAAATGTTAAGAGCATGGAAGCAGGCCAATGTTTACAATGCTTCTTACTATTCCCTTGCACAAGCCTTATATGATCGCACTGTCAATTTGGGTGTTGTTGTTAATAGCTTGTGCCTCAAGAAAATCCAATGATATCGTGGCCATAGGTGAAACCTTTTCTGAGAAACTTTTCAGTGTGGAAAGCTAGCCAGAAAAATATCTCAAGTATAGTGAATTTGTTAAACGATAAAAATAGAACTATATTTAATCTGAATTAGTGTAAGGGTTTCCTCATATTGGTGTTGGGAAAAAGAATGGAAATATTATATTACTTTAAGCCATTCGATACAAAAATTGTAATAAGACAGGTTGATTATTTCTTATTCCTTTTGGCGGTCTCATCTAAGTACAATTTCTTTCACCTTTTTCTTATTGCGGTTGTGAATTTGGTACGGAAACGGTTGCTCCGTTTCTACGGTGATTAGATCTTGTTGTACTATTTTGTAATAAGCTATGTTTTTAATTATGTCAATTTTCTAGTTGTAAATCTCTCTAGTGAAAGTTAACCTCGCACAGGAATTCCTGGAAACTCCTGCTTCTTATACTATTGATTACTTTCAGACTGGTTTTTTTGGTCAAATTCTAAGTCAAATTCACGATTCCAGAATATTTCTTAAATTTCAAATTAACACCTTCAACACTTCTTCTTAAAGGTGACTCTGATTGTAAATAGCTTATGCTTTTTCATCTTCGCACTGAAAATTAAATTAGATAAACCAAATAGTGTTGCTGGGGGCGGTGCTAGCGAACGCCCCTTCTTCTCCGAATTTTCTGTTTACTCTGTTGTTATATAACAATCCTCTGAGGCTATTTTCTCGTAAACTATCTTTTCAAGCGTAATTTCAATTCTGCCAATAGTTTAATTATAATTTTTATATTATCAATCTTGTCTTTGTTCTGGCCGATCTAAACCGTAAAATTAAGAAATTTAAGGTAGAAGATCATTTTGTAATAGCGTAAACAACTCGAAGGCACATACTTATTATGCAGGGTCTGTCGTACGTAACTTAACGTGATTCGCTGATTGAGATAGAATGGTGACGATAGAAGAAAATTGACAGCTTAGTAGTGTCACCTTTAGTGCCACCTTTATAAGCTGGTGCACAGTATCTTTAAATCAGAGAATATAGCAAAACAGAACAGTGTGGACTTATGTCGAAAGAAATAAGTTGAGCTGTGGTGAATAAGATCAAGACTGGGCTATTCCCCGAGAGTAAGAATTGTACTAGGAGCTCAACCAGGAAATAAGGGAAATTCAACCGAGTGTTAGAGAGTAATTCTTCTAACAAATTTTACATACTTAATCTTTGGTAGTAATATGCAATCTTTTGGTGGCAAGAATTTAGTTGTTAGACTGTATTCATTAGAGTACTAAAAAGTTTGATGGTCTTTCCACAATCCAAGTGGTGTTCCTAATTTTTTAAATTAGGGTCTGATATTTTTATTTTGTTGTCATTGTTCACTGCTGGTGTAGTAGTAGTAGTAGTAGTAGTAGTAGTAGTAGTAGTAGTAGTAGTCACGTGAATTTAAAGACATGGAAAAGCTTTGTACCATATTTTTACATACATTTGAAGTTGGTACATTCAAAATACTCTAAATGTGTATCCTATTCTAAACAATCAGTTTGTGGGAACGAGCAAAAAAGCTGGGTCAAGAGCGCGAAAATGTAATTTGTGATAATCGTAATTAGCAAAAATTATTATTTTGCCGGCACGTATCAGAGGACTGAAGGGAGGTCTACAGTGCGAGGAAAGTTATGGGATGGTAGTTTATAATAATTATTTGAGATCGTTAGTAGGGCGAGGTATTATGCGGGTAGCCTTTGCTGTGTTAAGTTGGTAGGTTTCATTTTCGTATAAATTTATTTAGTGTTTTTTTTTTTCTGGAATATCGTCATGTTCACATCAGCTGTACTCGCATGCTTCCTTAAGTAACTGTTATCTACTTGTTTATATCATGTTATTCATAGGGTCCCCTAAGACCCGTAGGGTGGCACCACTGTTGGTACACGTTCCCTTTTTTTCCTACTGCCGGTTTTAGGGGTTTTCGTGTTCGACTGCATTTAGTTTCCTTCACTGAACTGTAATTGTGATAAGCACTTGTACGCATAATGGCGTTAAATAAACGGTACAGTGACTTGGCTCGCCAATGCGCCCATATATCAACAATTTTTGTGCCCGGTTGAGTAGTGGGGGCAAAATAACCAAGGGGAACTAAGGAAATGAATGGTAGGACTTGGTCCTTAGAAGCTTTTTATCTCCACTGACTGCGGAAGAACCTGGCATTGGCTACTCAAAAAATATATTTTTTCAATGAAAAAAAAGAACTTCATTTGAATAGTATTCAATTCCATGCCCTTTATGGTAAAAAAAATAATTTGTACTTGTGATTAACTAGATAAATCAAGCAAACAAAAGAATCCAGTTCATTACGATTATGCACTCTTTGTTTGTGAGTAATAAATGTGCAACTTTTTTGCAGTGCAACATGAATAGTGTAATCTTCATGAAACTTTTTTGATTAAAATCAAATCTATCATGTATCTGTGGCAGTCGTACGCCACAGAAAAATGTCGTCAGATAGATAAGTTTTAAAAACCCCGTGTTACTGTCACAGCCACATCTATTGCTTGACAATGAGTTGCTCCCATCTCTTCATGACCAACAAGAGTGAGAGAAGCAAAGTTTGCCTGCTGGTTGTGGGTAAACATACTGCTGTGTAAATTGGCCTATAATCTACTTTATAGTTATGTATGGAAAAACTTTTGGGCGAGCAGTTTTAATATTACTACCCTTTTCCGTTGAGTGGGGTGCGATAGAAGTTTTGACATTTAAATCACATTGTTGTCACGGACAACTGCATGGCTCCATTTACAGTGCCAACGTGCTGCTGGACCTTTCTTGGTGGGCTTTCACATTGCATGGCTCTTGAGATCTGGTTACCACTGGAAACGAGGAAGGTTGCCCGTGACAACGTCTCAGCTGATAATCGTGGTATGAAAATGTCGAATGCTCATGTCTAATTTTCGTGTTCCAAAAAAAAACGGTATGAGAAGAGACACTGTTGTGGATCATCTCTATTGCAATGGTGAAAGACGTGTTAGGCAGCTAGATTAGATGGAAAATTTCCATCACATGGTGGTAAACATCTTAGTCTTCCACTTCAAAGAAATTCCTTCTTTGTCCTAGGCATTTTTTTTTTTACTAACTAAACGTTGCGCATGTTGCCGCACGACTCATTTCTGCGCTTTGGAATCGCCTCGTCAACCTTAACACCCTAACTCAGTGTGCATATTCTTCATACTTTCTCCTGTGGTATTTGGCAAGGCGAATTTATCATGCAATCAAGACCTTCAATCAGTGACCATTTTCCTATTTCTCTGACCTTAAGGTTTGGTTCAGAGGTGATATTGTAAGGAGAAATTACATGGCACTCACTTTTACGGATTAATTTTATGGATTAAAGAGTTAGATGGATGCGATACCCTTTCTCTCCTTCAGCACTCTACTGCTGCGGTCCTAAGGAAGATGAATCTGAACGAGTGAGGTGGAGTTAGACTTCGCCCACTGAGACTGAGTTAGACTTCGCCCACTGAAGTCATGGATTGATTATGGCGTGGCCATACAAAGTCATGTATTTTTCCTTCTCTCTGTGTGGGAAGCCACCACCATCATGATAGCTATGCCATGCTGATGTGGCCCAACAGGATCGAGACAGTTGTACATGGCTGTTACCCGGATGGGTTACTTTTGTTTTATAGTTTCCTTATTTTTTTAAAAAGGTGTGATCGTTGTAACGCCATGATTATCGCCCAGATATGCATTCTGTGGCTTCAAAATACAATTTACCGTACCATTTATCCAATTTCTGTATTTCAGTTTCTCTTCGTTATAGATAAGTAGCTAGTTCTAACTCGTGTTGGCTGAAACTTTTTAATTTGTCATTGACAGTAACTAAATAACTGACCTAAATTTCGTTTTGGGTTACTTAAACCTGTTGATTATAAATTAAAGGTTCACCTAATAATCAATAATTCATCTAAGCGCGAATTTCAATTAAGAAAACGATAAATCTTGAATCAGAATCACCTGGCGCGATCTCATCATGGAGGCCGAAGTCTTCGATTGATCGGCTGAGCTTTCTAGAATTATGTGCTAACGACAAGTTATTGGTGAATCAGGCCGAATGCTTTTGCAAAGAACCAAATGTTTCGTCGATTCTCAGGTGACTGCAATACGTTCTGTCCCACTAGCAGGTCTCAAGCGCGCCAACAAAGGCTGTTCGTTTAACACCAAGTAACCAAACAACATGTTTGTTGTATGTTCATTTGGTCTTTGTGCTAGACTAATTAGACAGCGAGAACTTCCAGAAGAGGGATTCCTGAGGTCTTAAAATAATATTCTGTTGTTCATGCGGTAAATCAAATCGCTCTCGATCGTACGCTTTAGGCGGGAAATGCCTCAAGTCGAATAATCATGTGGAATTGAAAGATGTCAGTCGAGAATAGCCGATATTCGAGAACTAGTAAAGGGTAATGATTATATAAGTTAACGGTGGATGCCTCAACCTTCATTCAAAAGAAAGAGTCCAGACAAAGAGCGTTTACCTGATATTAAGTACTGTGAATTCAATTTTCGTGCTCTCTTGGGTAGTGTATACCCGAGGGTTATTTTTAATCTCTTCTATACCCTTCTGGGTAGTGTATACCTAAGGGTTATCTTTGATCTCTCCTATATCCTCTTAGGTAGTGTATACTTGAGAGTTATTTTTAATCTTTTCCATACCCTCTTGAGTTGTGTATACCTGAGGGGTTTTTTTAATCTCTTCTTTACCCTCTTGGGTAGTGTACACCTGAGGGTTATTTTTAAACTCTTCTACACCCTCTCGGGTGGTGTGTACCTGAGGGTTATTTTTAATCTCTCCCATGCCCTCTTGAGTATTGTATACCTGAGGGTTATTTTTAAGCTCTTCTTTACCCTATTTACACGGCAGTCGCGTAAGATGATATTCATAAGAGTGAATGAATGTGAATGACCCAAAATGAATGAATGTGAATGACCTAAAATGTAGTAACACTGTTTCAGAGAAACGTGAAGACCAGCTTATACCCTGTTATAGTCAATTTCGGCAAGAGTGTTGTCTTCGGAAAAGCTAAAAATGCCATACCAAAACCTTGGCATGTGAAAGGTCATTATAAGAATAGTTGCATTGCGCCGAAGCTTGTAGACGGAACAGGGAGACCGTCAGTTGAAAGCGATGCGTATTCTCTGGATTATCTAATCAACACAGTTTCGGGACTTAAAAAGTTCAAAACCATGACCTGTATAAAGAAGGGTTTGTCGGAGTTAGCCTTAAATACGCCTAGAACTTCGATCATGGAGGTGAAATCAGCTTTTACCAGGGCCGCTCTTTGGGCTATGTTTGAGTTTCTTCTTTTTATGTGTTTTAAATTGTTCCTGTTATATGTTGCTGTAACATTGGGCCAGGACTATCTGTGGACCTTGTGTTAACGATTTACAGTTGTCTTCTTTAAGACATGCATTGTTTCTACAAAGAAAATTAGCTTAGCGTACCGCCCCTTTGGTTATTTCGAATTAGACCCGTTAAGTTTCTTAGTGGCATTTCTCTCGATTCTTGTTTCTGGACAATGTGCGAGCAAAGTAGAGTTGTATCTTGAAAATGGTTGGAAATTTAATTATCAGAACTTGCGGTTTTTTCCCAGTTCAGTCAGACGACCGCGGGAACGAAGTTGTTTACCATAATGAAGCCGAAACCAAAACGCGACACTTGAACTTGCATTTGGGTCAATGCATACCGAGGTCGCGCTTGTGTGCGACCACATCCTTTCTAGGCATCTACACTTTTTACTGACTTGCTTCTCATTTCACAATGCGTTTTTCAAAACGTTGAACAAAGTTCTGGGCATGATTGATCCACCTCCCCTGTGCTGAGTAAGAATAATTTTTAGAGGTGGTCTGCAAGGCCCTGCAGTTACTTTGATGCTAACCTAGAGAGGAAGGAAGTTCATATAGACATTACACCAGCTATCAAGTTTTTCCACTGGCCTCCAATGGCCTCTAATGGAAAAGAGTTTAAAATGACATCACACTTAGCTCATGAAGGCGTTGTAATACACCCCTAGCATGCACTATGTTCTAAAGGGCTGTTCATCTTTTATTAGAACAAGGTTCGGGTGAGAGATCGAGAGGGGAGATGGAGTTTGGATGAATACAGCTTAACCTAAACGAAAAAATATTTCCTATCAAATTTCTGGGATAAATTAGTTTTTCTTAAAAATTATTAGGCTCTTTTGATTAATATATTAACTAATATTGATGTTTCTGCCATTAAGTCGGTTCAGGGTCGGTGCATCTGGTAAGAACTAGTTTGTTAAAGTGAATGGTTTGAACCTGGGAGTAACATTTGGTCACATTGTTCGGTAGAGGTTAAGTCCTGAGAAGGACTGTTGTTAGTGGCTACTGACGCTATACAAATGACTCATTCACCACATCTACATCACAAACGAACCAGACAGTATGGCTTAACATCACCGACCAGATCAAACCTGGCCAATCATGACTGACTTACACCATTTGATTCTTATAGCCAGTGATATCACGGCTAAACTGACCAATCAATTTACACAACTGGACTTATGACACTCAACGGACAACAACTCTTTACTTGACTCTGATGTTGACTTCCGCTAAGGTTGACAAATCATTAGTCACCACTCCTGAAAACAATACTTCTCAACTTCTCAAAGTTTGATAAAAAAAAGAGCTTTTCTATACAACGAGAAAACTTAGAATCACTCCTGACAACTATTTTTTTCATTTATTTGGCATGTTAACAAAGTCTCTACTGTAGGTTCTCTTGATTTACATTTGCTCTAAGAGATGACTTTTTTTTTGTTTCTCTTTGGTGGAAAATCTGCTAGTGTTTACAATTGCAGTAATCTCTGGGATGGTTTATCCTTATCATAGAGGCACAGTTTGGCATTCCACTTCTCTCCTATTTTGGCTTGTCAAATTCTGTTTGGCTTGTTAGCTCAGTTGGTAGAGCGCTGCACCGGTATCGCAAAGGTCATGGGTTCAAATCCCGTACAGGCCTGAATTTTTTTACGTCAAGCGTAATTTTGCTCACGGTGGTAAGTAGCCTACTTACCGAAGCCAGATTATACGAATTTTCCAGACATTTTGAGTACTATCTGTACATGTGATACACGCTTGCCAATTCCCCTATCAGCTTTTGGAATCGACTTAACCCTACCTTTACCATGGCTGGACATTTCTTTTGGCACCCTACATCTGCTATTGGAACCACGATTCCACCCAACACCGAGATATGATCTGTGAGTGGGGCAATTTGTAAAATCATCGATATCTTTTGGCGTTTCGAAGATGCCGGTGTCCCAGCGGATTTGGGCCCCCCAGTCCAAATCCGCTAGCGGATATGGACCCTCCCGGTCCAACAACCCCCCA